GAGGGGGCATGCAGGAGGCAGCCAATTGATGATACTCTGTCATCATTGATGTTTTTCTCTCTCTCTCCCTCTACCTTCCTCTACGAAATATATATATGTATATCATCATTCCCAAAAATTCTTATGTTTTAAATAATTTCTTCTTTTTCCTTCCCATTATTATTATAACAAATTTAAGAATGATTGATGAGTCATACCAGGGCCTTGGGACTGCACTGATATTTCTTGTAGAGGAAAAAACTTAACATAACATGAGGTAGCTCTGTCCTTCTTGACACCCTCCTCCCACCCCCACCCCACTCATCCTACTTTCTTTCAATAAATACTTACTGTGTGCCCACTAGGTACCAAATGCTGAGCTAGGGCTTATAGTTAAACTGGTCAACAAGATGTACAATTCATTCTCTCTCACAGTGCTTAGATTCTCTCCGAGGGAGGGCAAACCACAGACAATAAACTTAAAGATTATTTCAGAAAGTAAGAATTATAAGGAAAATAAAACAGGCTGATATAATAGAGAATGATTGTTAAGGAGGGGGCTCTTTTATGATTGTTGAGGAGGGAGTCACAAAAAGATGACATCTGATCTGAGGGCTGAATGACCAGAAGACATCTTAGTGAAAAGATCTCAGGCAAGAGATTTACAGGCAAAGGGAACAGTAAGTGCAAAGGTCCTGAGGCAGAATGAGTATTCCAGGATCAGCAAGGAGGCCAGAATGCTTCAAACTTGAAAGGGAGCCAAGTCAGACTCATCCACCAGGTATGGCCTGGGCTTTGACATGGAATTATCTTGGGATTCTTGCTGTGGGAAGCTGGATAAATACTCCTGGCTCTCATAAAATTAAGGAAGATTAATAAATGTCATATAAACTATTCTCCCATTAACAATAAACACATTATCATTATCATAGCTCCTTACCCATGAACAAGTAGTCCACGTTGTTTCCTTTGGTTGATGTTTTGTGAAAACAGGGTTTCATTATCAGTAGTTGATTATATTTTGTACTACTTGAGTACTGAAAATGAGCTTGCTTTGGATCTATTTAAAAACCAAATTATTTATAATTCACCAGGTGACTCCAATACCATAAAATAGAGTCTAATGAGTGGTATAAACTTTATTTGAGTATTTACATACTTTTCTAAAGGAAGAATACTTATGCCATAATTTCAAAGTAAGTTATGTGGCATGTGCCCCCTTCCCCCTTTTTTTTGGTTTTGAATTATTTTCTAACTCTTGCATTGGTTTGTTGTATTTCAAATGGACATCTACCAATTAATAATTGTAGTACTATTACGTTTCAGCAGTTTGTTTTGCTTGAATAACTGAAAACTTGTGGAAGAGGCAAATCAAGAAGCATGTTACAGGTATGTCTAAAATCCACCCCTGGGAGCTACTACTGAAGCAAGGAGATAGCAGCTTGGCTTCAGACCCCATTGATCACTGCCCTTTTCTAAGCCCTCTTCAAAAAGGGCAGTCCGGGTGACAAATGGGCCTTCTGTGATAAGGGCTCCTGTCCACTAGAAATGGGAATCAGCTCACAGTTTCATTTCACAGAGTCCACCAGATGGCAAATAACTTTATCTACCCAGACCAGATCTAGACTGGAAATAGAATGGTGCTCCGGACCCCCTTCCCCTCTGCTGGGAGACTCGGAGCTTTCCTCTGAGGGTTGCTTGATCGAGGGCACTTGTGTGTCAGTTTAGTTATATATTATGCCACAGTTCTAAATGCAGAAGGTTGTCCAAATTGCCTTCTTTGATTCCATCTGGCAAATAAGGTTAGAATCAATGACTTTTAAAAATGGGAACCAAAGCAAGATACAGATGCAGTAGTTGCAATGACAGACATGTAAGAAGGTGGAAATGAACTGGTGAAACATTTATGGGGAAGGGCTGGGGGAAACGTATCAGAAATTAAGAGAAAAAATCCAACAGCAACAAAAATGAAATGCCTTCATTACCACAAGAAACTTCAAGTAGCCTTCACATGGTCCTACTCGAATTACAATTTTAGCCTGCATCATCTGTGAAAAGAGGGAGTAGGAAATATGACCATGGAAAGCGATACTTTAAGCTGCAACACATATTGCTCATCACTGACTTGACTTGCAGCGTGTCGTTCAACAAAGGCATACAGTGATTTAATCTCAACAGCAATTTAGTCTGCTGCTGCATGAGACAAGGCTATCATTGCCGACAGACTGTAATTTGTGGAAGTCAGGTGCTTGGGATTAGGACCACCTGTTGAGTTTAATCTTGGAGTTATGATGTTAATACCATCATAGAACAGAACAGAAACACTACATATTTCACAGACTCTGGGACCTCTGGCCATGGAGATGTGAATGGTTTCCTAAGTGGAATCTAACTCTCCGCAGATTCTGTAAATCAGTGGCAAATAAAGAGTCTGCTGGAATTCTGATTCAATATGCAGCAGCATATGGCTTGGTGGTCATCACAGACAGCACATCCTATAATTTTTCTAAGGCCTGATGTGAGGGTGAAAACAAAAAGAGCAATCAGAGTATCATCTGGTAAATGTAACAAAAATAGAAAAGCTGTCATTGCCTACCCTCCCCGGTGATAATTTAAAAAAGAAAAGAGAATTCCTAGCAATATTCTAACAAGTCTCTGCCTAAGCAAGATTCTAGGAAGATCCCAAGGAAATATGATTAGACAGAACCTTTTGGAGAGAGGACAAATATTTTACACATGCACATTCAGACAGCCATCAGACATGGAACTTGGCCTAATTTCTGGCCAGCTAACTAGTAACAGTAAAGAGGGTCAATGATTGCATTGGGAGCAGAAGTTTACATGTAGCTCCATTTGACCATTCAGAGAATGTTTAGAAAAAGGGCATAGATTTTAAGGTTTGCCTTTGTTCCTTTGCTTGCGTGGGGTAAACCCTGCTGAACCCTTTGCCTATGGAATTTTGTGACATACTGGTTTTCTATGAAAGAATTTCATTACTATAAATTATCTGCAAAGATTTTTTCTGGCCATGTTTATAATTCTCTGCTAACAATTTCAAGGACATTCACACATATTTATCATGCCCACAACACTTCACAATTTATAAAGCCCTTTTATTACAGATTATCTCACTTTCTCATATAGAGTGTCAACATTCCTTCCAGAAAAAAGAGCTGTCCTTCAATTTAATGAACTAAAGCTCCAATACATTGAAAATGGGATACGACCTATTTGTGCGAATAAACACTGTTTAGGAAACATGAGGGCATTATATTTTGACTTAGGCTCTCAATGTTCTTAGCTGGTGTCCAGCAGAAGAGCACAAGGAGGGAAGCATTAGGAATATTTTCCCACAGGCCCATCAAAGCTCTCAGCAAATGTACCTTCTGACACCCTCTTAATCGAAATTCCGCCAGTGCTAATACCATTTCCAGTAAACAATAGCTATGGAAACCCACTTAGTTCAATATATTCATCATTTCCAGGTACACATCCACCCACAGTCAGAGGTCGATCTCTAAACTTTCCTGGAACTCCAGCCCTTATCAGTTGCTCCCACATGCAGATACAAAGTATGTAATCAATCAGCAACTTAGAAAATTGCAGCTGGGATTGTAAAACTGATGACCCTCTCTACTTTTGATTTGAGCCTACCACCAGGCCCCTCCCCCTAATCACTTTGTAATGAAATCTCTTCTTCTTTTCTGCTTCTCTGAATTCTTCCCAGTGCAAGTCCCATGTTTTCAAAGAAACTTTCATTGATGCTTCCAGAGGGCAGTAACCTATCTTTCTCATCTTTGTACCCAACAGTATTATCAGTTTACATCTTGCATTTCCTATACATGTATATTTATCAGTCTATCTATCTATCTATCTATCTATCATCTATCTATGCATCTAACTATACTTCATAGTAACTCCCCACCCTTACCCACACCCCCACCTAGTCAAAGACCCCTAAAGGCTGAGTCCTGTCTTAAATATTTTTGTACCTTCCAAAAACCCTTAGCATCATTCATTGCACAGATGAGTGGAAATGTTTTGATTGTTTCTTTTAAAAAGTTTGGCTTTTTCATGCAGGGTAAGAGCAATCTTTCTACACAAAAGCCGTACATGCTAGCTATCACTCTGGTCCACAACCATAAAATCGAGTTATATTACTGGCAGATTAGTTAGGTGGTTTCAAGAAATCCTCTAGCTCTCCAGAGCAGACACAGAGTGGAATTGTATTTTAATCAAAACATATTAGCGGCTTCAAATAAAGCGGAATGCATTTAAACTGTCTTTTCAGAATCAGAAAAGTTGATTAGGATGCTCCCAAAGGCTTCACACACTGAAACCAGACACTCATTATTCCAGGAAGAAGAGGCTCAATTTAAAAAATTTATCTTATTAATTATTAGCCAAGCCAGGCAGCGGCTTCCCAGGAAGTCAGAGGGAAACAGGTCCTCAATGATGAGTTTCAAGCCAAGGGAAGCTGAGTTGGTGCCTCTAGCCTTGCGCTCCTGTCTGGGCACGCTCTCAGGGGACAGTGGCAATTCTGCCCAGAGCAACTGGAGCAGAGATCAGAGGGGAGTCTTTGAGCCTGAGCAGCGGCCTCACCTCCAGGTTCACGGTAATAGGAAAGCCAGGGCTGCTACTAGCGCCATCCCGGGTCAGTTCCCACAAAGGCGAGACTTGGTGGCCAAACTCTATCTAGGCTTCCGGAAGCCAGCACACACTGGCCTCTGTAATTCTGGGGATCAGAGGGTTCAAATTCCAGGGCCCGTTCCTGATTGGACATCGGGCTTTGGGGTGCACTCATCCCATCCCCATTCCCTGGAAAACTTTGCATCCTTTTCCAAACAGGAATTCTTATCAAGTAGGAACCATCCCACGCACCCCAGCGGGGCCACTCCCTCCTCCCGGCCTCTGAAAGGCATCTAACTCACGGCGCCTCCCAGCCCCTGGAAAGAGGGCAGGTTTAGGGGTGTGGGATTCCCCCAGCCGGGCGGCGTGCGAGTGGGAGAGCGAGCTGTCACCTTGTGGTCCACCACGCCAAGGTATCCGTCTAGCGGTCGCGGTGCTGCGGGGGGCCCGGGGCGCGACGGGGCGCTGATCTCCGCCAAGGGCTGCGCGCTGCCGGTGGCCGCTGCTGCCTGATGCGCCTGCTGCTGCTGCTGCTGCTGCTGCTGCTGCTGCTGGGAGGGCCGGTCCTTCTGGCAGCCGAGGCTGCTGTACACGAGCAACAAGCTGGTGCACATGGTGGTGAGCGCTAAACACACTGCCAGACCATGGCGCTGCGGGCGGGCGGAGAGAGCAGAGAGTGGCTGAGAGCCCACCCGGGAGGAGCGCACCCAGACCCGGTCAGGGGAGAGCCCCGAGCGGGAGCTGGCCAGGGTGCTGGAGCGGCCGCGCGCAGCCCCTCCGGGTCAGAGGCGGCACACGGTTCCGTGGGTATCACAGGGGATGCTCCCGCCGCCGATGCGATGCTGCTCTCGCTCGGCCCACGCCACCTCCCCGATCTCTCGGCAGAGGGCAGGTGGAGCGCGGCGCCTGGCTGCTGGAGGGAGAGCGCGCCCGCCGGCGGAGGAGAGGGCAGGGGGGGGGCGGGGCGGGGGTCTCTCGCACTTTGGGGAAGGGACTCTCTCTCTTGCCATCTCCCCAGCTGGAATCTCTAGCCTTCGCATCCTCTCCTTTCTGGACCCCAGAGGCTTTACCTCGGCGATTCGTGCAAGTTTGAAATCATTCAAGGAAACCCAGAAAGTCTGCAAAGGTCTCCCCTCCCTTCTCTTAGTTTTTGTTTTTTTGCCAGGAGGTTGCTTTTGGTATCCCTCCACCCCCTGAGCAAATGCGCCCACCACTCCAGCTCTCTGCTGGCCCCCCAGACTTCCTGCCGAGATCCAGGAGCTTAGGCAAGCTGAGTTCCTCCCGGCTCTGGGATTCCTACCCAGGCAGAACCCGGGAGCCCTGCGGGGGACCCGGAGCAGGTGGAAAGTTATCCCTTTGTAACAGGCGACCTCGCGGGGGCTGGGTTAGGCGCCCCTGGACCTCTCCCCCACGCACCCTGGGAACGCTGCTCCCGGGAGGTCCCCGCTCCGCTCTGAAGAGTTGTAACAAATGACTCACCACCAGGGTCTTCATTTTGGGCACCTCTTTTGTGCGGAATCCTCAGGCACACGCGTCCGGAGCCACTTTTTCTGGAAGGGTTTCCATGATGGGTGATGGGGGCGCGGGCAAGCTCTGGTTTTAGCCCGGCGGCCGCCGGCGGCTGAGTGGGCAGGGGAGCCGCGGGACCCAGGGAGCGCCGCCGCTGTGGAGATTAGAGACAGAATTAAAACTGAGCCGGACCCTCGTAGTCTCTCCGTGATCTACACAACTGCCGCCTGCCGCCGCCTGCTGGGTCCTAAAGACCACTGCATCCTTCCCCCCACCTTACCGCCCCCAAATATTCTTTTCAGCCTAATGGAATTTCTGGGGCGAGGGAGTTAACTGTGTCAGTACCACCACCCGTTGGTCTGAGAGCTTATTTATCTTTTATGAAATCATTAAAAAAAAAAAAGAACCCAACTGCATTCTGAACGTGATTCCCATTTGAAAATTTGCAAACTAAATGTACTGGTTTTTTTTGTTTTGTTTTGTTTTAAAAAACAAGTCAACTTCCCAAATGTCAATAGTCCTATTTATAGCGTTTGCATTTTATGTTGATTGTATGGGGAAATCTATCACAAAATTTTTTTTCCAAAAAGTTATTTATTATTTCAGATTTTTATTGTAAGCTTTCTCATATTCTCTTCACCCTTAATTTTACTTTTCTAATCCAGTTATTTTCATACAATCTTTTAACCACAATTTTAATCTAAGTTATTTCATTCATTATTTGTTTTAAATATTACAAATTTCATTGCTATCAGACTTTTGAAGTTCTTAGTGATTTGAAAGTGTAAAACCACTCAAGCCATCATATCCACATGGTTAACTGAACCTGTGGAATCTCCCTAATTTTAATGAAAGATTTCTGGCTCCTGGAGATAGAACTGCATACTGCTTATTTTGTAAGCCTCCTAAGGCCTTTGGTGCTCTGCTCGTGTTAGTCTATTGCACTGATAGTACACAATTTCATGCTCAAACCTTCAATTAAAAAAATTCAAAACTTATTATTATTTTTTTTGTTGGGAATTTCACACCAATATCCTGTTTAAAGGGTCCTCCCCCTCATGTCGAATTTCAAATGACATTTGTTAAATGTCTAATTTAGCTAAAAACATATTTCTTGTGAAATTGCTCAGTGAGAACAGTTGTATTAATATATTACTTAACACCTCACCTGTAGCAGTGTAATGTTAAAGATTACATTAAGATGGAAATGATCAGCAGGCCAACTGAACCATAGGCATAATAAGAGCTTTCTCAAGGCCAAAAAAGGCATTACAATCCTTTTTTTAATCTTCACTAATCCATGGCTGGACTGATGATACAACAGGAACTATTTTTAACTTAGGAGGCATCCTTCCATACTTAGTATTAGGGACCTTAAAATTATTGATGCAACAATGACTATCACTGCAATGTGTTTGGGGAAAGAAACATCCAGGATTTAGCCTTGCAAGGAAAAACAAAAAATTCAAAACACCATCCAACTTTGGCAGCCTTGAAGCTATTTATTCAATTTGTGCTTTAGGCATGAATAGCACCAGTTGTTAAGGCAGGAAAAGCAGCAGCCAGAGGAAAATCTTATCAGGTCCTGGCAATTCTTTATTGTATGGTTGCACTTGACACTCAAATTAGTGAATCAAAGGACCAACTTGATGAATCATTGCGGGCAGGCTATCTGTGTTTCTCCACAGCTCCTTTTGAGAGGCTACTGGACTGAGCTACAGCATTTTTTCAGAATTATTCCCCTTCCATCTAGCAAGTTGCTCAGTGACCGATAAAACACTTCTAATATATTTTGCCATGCCAAACAGAGCCATCATACTTATGATTTAAGCTCATGGCAGCACATTGGACATCTGTTACACAGTATGTCTGACCAAATTCATTAAGCTTATGCTTCTTTTTTCCTCCTCCTGGGATAGCAGTTAGCTAGTTGTTAAATTTACTTATGAAATGATCAGGGTAAATTTAAAAATGTAATTCTGAACTTGATTTAAATAATTTCAAGGCCTCGGGCCTTCAAATATTTGATTAGATGGATCCAGTGATTTTTAGGCACTTTAGCCTGAGAGCTAAATGGACTTGGGAGGATGGGAAAAAGGAAGATAAAACCAGTAACAAAAAATAAAATTCTTGTGCTGTTTCAATTTAGTGATCTTTAATGCTTGCCTGCTATCTAGTGGTTCTACATTTTTGGAATATAGAGATAAATAGACACAGATATTCTCTCTCTCTCTCTCTCTCTCTCTCTCTCTCTCTCTCTCTCTCTCTCTCTCTCTCTCTCTTTCTCTAAGTGTCTGACTCAAGTCCACAGGTAGGCAATAAAAGGCAAAGTACTAGAGATTGACATATATTTATGAAGTGCCTACCATGTTGAGCACCTACTCTGGTGAGCACCTACTATGTGGCAGGTAGTTGGGATATGTAGATGAATAGATCACATACCAGCTTGCAGGAACTGACAATATATTCCCAGATCAGTGTTATAAACCTTTATGTTATAAAGAACTAGGAAACAATCAAAACACATGCTTTATTTTTCAAGTCTGAGTGTTTGCTTATTTAAGATATGAGGGATTTGGTACTTTAAGGGTATCCACCTATTTTTGTGTAACTTTATGCACACATTTAAGTTAATAATTTGAATAGCCAGAAAGAACAAATAGTGGCATCGTTTATAGACACTTGATTGACGTGGAAGCAAGTAGGCAGGTCAATAAAGCTTTTATAGTTCATCTAGCTTGTCCAGTTCAATACAAAGTGAGCCAGGAAATCACAACTTGCTTTCCAAAATCCAGGTAGCTGAGATGGATTTCTCACCATTTAAAATTTGGTTACATTTCTGCCTCTAGTGCTGTCACATCCAATCAAATAGATTTCTACGAGAAAAAAAAAGAGAAGGAAAGGAAGGAAGGAAGGAAGGAAGGGAGGGAGGGAGGGAGGGAGGGAGGGAGGGAGGGAGGGAGGGAGGGAGGGAGGAAGGAAAGAAAGAAAAGAGAAGAATTTGAGTGTTTTACAATGTGGGTTATGTGATAAACAAAGGTGAAAATTTAAGAAACATGGCATGTCATGAAGTGAGGAGGGAAGAGAGGGAGACTGAAGCTTGGAGGGAAGGTCAGCCTGTGCCCACAGCCTCAAAAGCACCACAAAACTAGCAAGTAAAGCAGAAAGACAAACTGCTGGCATGCACCAGCCTTACCCATGACTCCTAAGTGACCTCTCAATTCAGAAGCAAAAGTTTCAAATATCTTCACTATGGAAGAAAAGCAGAAAACAACATAAGGTAAAATGCATTTGAGATACAACTGCTCTTCACCTAATGATCTTTGAGAAAAAAGAAAGATTCTGCCACATGCAGCAAAAGCAAAAGGCTTACGGTGGCAGACAGTCTTAGAACAAATTTGATACTGGTACATTGGTGTCCTGCAGTTTACTTACCTTTCTTTCCTTCACAGGCTGTGCTTGGTGAGCTGGTAGGTCGAGAACAAGTTTCTGGAGTCGGGGCACCAGGACCCAGATTCTGTCCTAAGCACCTACCCGCTCTCTGACCTTGGTAAGTTACTTAGCAGTGCTTAGTTTCCTTATCTGCAAAACAACCATGGTAGAAGTGCCCACCTCAAAGAATTGCTGTGAAGGTTAAAAGAGATACAAGTGACGTGTCAAGAGGAGCACTAACAGATTATAACTATTTCAGTAATATTTTGTGATTATGATAATACACTGGGTTTGAAGGCAAAAGACCAGGGCTTGACATATATGACCAAAAGGTGCATGACCTTAGCAAAGGACTTAAAAAATATTAAACAGACTCTTAACTCACCTTTAAAATGTGTGCAACAAAGCCTACCCCACAAATGGTTAAAGAGCTTATTAGGATATTGTCTGTGCCTGTTTTGCATACAATGAAGCTCTGCAGTAGCTATTAGTAACTCATTTGTTCATCCTGAAAGTATCGATTGAGCATTAACTCTATGCTGGGCACCATTCTAGCCCATGGGATGTGACCAAGACACACAGAGGGCCTCTGCCTTACAAGGCGTACATTTCAAGCTAGGGCAATAGAGCAGTGGAATAGAACATAAGACCTAGGGGAAAAGCATGGTAAAACAGTTAGCTATTAGGGTAGGGGTGTATGTGCTGTTTTAACTAGGCTGACATTTGAGCAAAGATTTGAATAAAGTGAGGGAGCGAGCCATGGGACCATCTGGAATAAGGGAATTCCAGGCAAAGGGAACGGCCCCTGCAAAGGCCATGAGGTAAGAGCTTGACTGGCATCTTGAAAAGACAGCAAAGGGGGTCAGTGAGGCTGGAGTGGAGGAAGGGAGAATAATCATAGAGGAGGAGGGCAGAGGGCCAGATATGCCAGGGCCTCATAGGCCAGGAGAAGGACTCTGTGAAGAATACCAGATGAAGGTAAAGCTTTGAAAGAGCATGGGTTTTTGTTATTTTGCACAGATCACTTATCTACTATGCTGGGGAGCAAGAGTGGAATCAGGGAAACCCCTTATGAAGCTCTTACAGTAGTCCAGGTTGAAGGAGTATGTAGTGCTTTTAGGAGAAATGAATGGTTTCAGGATTTGCTGATTATCAGATAGGAGATACAAGAAAAAGAAAAGAGGCAAGCAAATGCAAGGCTTTTGGACTGAGCAGCTGGAGAACGGAGCTGTTATTAAGGAAAATGGAGAATTTGGATTCAGATTTACTCAGTATGAGGTGTCACAGGGAATGGAGTTCAGGCATGGTGTTGGTTGGGCTTAGAGATATGAACTGGACATGATGGTTCATTAAAGGACGAGGTCACCTAGGGATGATCCAGGACATAGAAGAAAAGAGGTCACAAATTTCAGATGCTGCCAAGAATGGGAGTCATCACTATAATAATGATAATACTAAAAAACAAAAATAACTATTTGAACTTGATTTGATTTAGATTTCTGTTATTGTCATTCTGAATGGATTTTCCATTCCCAGACAGTTAGTCATTTATGTCCTGAAACACTTCTCAAATTCTATTACTGTACTAAGCATATTCATTTATGTACTTATTGTTCATCGTTCCTACTAGATCATAAATTTTCTAGTACTGGAACTATGGCCTATGACCCTATAAGCCTGGCATATCATTGAGGGAAATAATGTTAACCATAACATTTATATAGCCTTTATTATATATATACTACAGGCCTTGTGCACGAATTTGTGCACCAGTGGGGTCCCCCGGACTGGCCTGCAGG